CCTTCCTATTGTCCCGGCCCTGTCGACCCCAAAAATACATTTCAATTGTCCTGAAGTGAGGATGAACTGTTACAACCTGTCAGGCCTCAAAATTAACTTTTCTTCCTATTGTCCCAGCACTGTCCCAAAATAAATTTCAACTGTCCCGAAGTGAGGATGAACTGTCCCAACCTTTTTTTGTGGAAGTGTTGTATGACTTCAACTTGAAGTCAACTTTATTTTGCTTATGTTCACTCTCAGGCACACTATAGTTGCAGAGTAGACAGGAAATTCGGGGGCATTTTTCCAGATCCAAAAGCCAGGATATGCCTGATAAACAAAAGAAGTACTGACAATCTGGTGTTGACTACTTTTCTATTGTCCCAAAAATGTCCCAAAGTGTCTTTTTAGTTGTCCCAGCCTGAATTTTAGTGGTCAGTGGCCATCGGACAACCTTTAATTTCGAGCCCTGGGTTGGAGATCGAGAGGAAATTCCTACCACCCATTGTCATATTTTACTGTACGGCCTGGCAAATGTGCAAACTGTAATGATACCTGAGCAAGATTGATGGCATTGTTATAAGTAGAGAGCGAGGGAGAGAGTATGGAATGGAATCTATTTGTGAGGTGACATAATTGACTAGCAAGAGAATTAGCTGTCAAGTTACATGCCTGCTTTTCTTCCTTACATTGTTTAAGGAAAAATTATTTCCTAATGTAACAAAAATGTACCCTTTTTAACTATTTTGAATGTATTTTCAATAGGTTGAAAGAGAGTGAAACAGTCCAGAATTGTTACATCTGTCCTTGGTGCTGAATTTATGGTGATGGTAGTGCTTAATTTATTACAGTTTAACAGCTTGTGCACTTTTAGTGTTGTGATTTACTGCAACATTTTATATTTGTAGTCAATATCTGGCCTGTTTTTAAGACACCTCTCATCAACAGCACATGCAGAACCCATCGGAAGGCAAAATTTTGAGGGCTGTTGCACAAGAAAAATGTTTCGATGGCCCACACTAAGGCCACACCGATTTACATGTATTTCCTTGATTCTGGGAGATTTAAACGCAGAAGTTAAGCAGGAAGACAAGATACAAATGGAAGGCTGTGAGGAACATTTGCCTCTGATTATATCATCTCCTTAAGGCCTTCCTCTCAGACACTGTTTTCCAGTTAAGCACATCCTTGAATCGAAGAAGCAACAAATGAAATTGTTGGCCTACAGCCCTGTGTGCGATTCCAGCCTACAGCTGGACATTATAAATGGGGGCTTAATGGCAACACCTGGTAGTTAAATTTAGTGTTAATGAGACTGTAACGACTGGGCCCGTGGGGAACTCAATGATTTACAGCTCCTGGACCTGTAAGTATCAGCTTTCAATTGCCACGTAGGTCATTAGGGTACTCACTCAAATCGTGGCAAGGCCTAGGAAAAAAAAATGTTGTGTTTCCTATTTTCCCGACCAACCCTATACATGTAGTATAAAAACCTGCCGACCCTAGACTTTTTTTGGGAGTGGATCTCTGCAAGGGACAATTTTTTGAGCTGATCAACCTTTTCTAGCTCCATGATCTGACACCTGAGTGATAAAATGTTGTACAATTAGTTTTCTAATATTGACATTGGAAATAAAAGTGTCCTCATTGAAGTTTTACTTTGTTAAACAAAATTGGACCCCCTATATAGATATCACTGAAGTCTTAAAAGAAAAAGAAAAAAAAAACACAATGCCTACATTTGTACCTACCGACCCTAATTTTTTCAGGACTGAAACAGGAAACACAAAATTTTTTTCCTAGGCCCAACACCATTTGTACTGATGGTAATAGAGAAGCAGATAAGAGAAGCAGATAAGAGAAGCACCAGTAAGTGTTATTGCGAATTTACCCTTCAATATACATGTAAAGTAACAATTTTATGTTGAAGTTCAGATCCTAAATATGACAATGCTCACAGCATTCCTTACATCCATTTTGTTGAAACAATGAACCACAACATGGCACAAAGTTTTGTACCATCTAGAAGCTTATGAAGAAAACTTAGGAACCCAGAAATGCTATGATGTGAGATTGGTAACCAACAGTGGCTGATGAGTGATAGATGGAAGTTGTTCCACCATGGTGGTGCCGTAATCCACCTAAGACCCCAGCAACGTGAGGAATCTTGGCATTAAGATTCTATGCATAGATTTCTGATAGCTCATTGACCTGAGGAAGGCATCATCTTGTCGAAAACTAATCCTCATACCTTTGCTCGCAAATGATCTAGCGGAAACTGCAGTTAGCGGCGGTCTCCAGCGGCCCAAATAACAGGGCTTATCACTCATACAAGTAAGCCTAAACTCCAGCTTAAATGGAGGTTAGGCGTTAGGTTACCACTTTGCTGTTATCTTCAGATGTGGATGTCAAATTGCTACCATTTTTTCAAATTGCTTACCCCCGAATCACATGAAATCATATTCAACTCGTAACAGCTTTGTTTTTGTGAGATTTATTTGAAATGAGTCATGTTCTTGTATTAATAATAAGCTGGAAGACTCTAGTCCTACTAGCCTTTGCTTTCCTATAAGACATGTAATAGGAGACTTTCTGGAAATAATTGAATGTACTGTAACAGTAATAGACTTACCTTGTCTTTGCTTGATGCAGGTTTTCACCATTGATCAGTGTGTTTTTGCAACACCTTCTTTCGACTGTGATCGTAAAATGCGATGTCTGCAGGAAGCAAACAAATTTGTGGTCTCGCAGCATGCAATTTATAAACACGCAAATATCTATAATACCCTGCCTCAAGGTACGACATACATGTACATAATTAGGAAACATGTGAAGAAACATGAGCATATCCTGTGAAGTCAATAGAATTTTTATACTTTCGACTGTAATTGTAGCGATGTCTGCAGGAAGCAAACAAATTTGTGATCTCACAGCATGCAATTTATAAACACTCAAATATCTAATACCTTGCCTCAAGGTATAGCATACATGTACATAATTGGGAAACGTGAAGAAACCTGAGCATATCCTGTGAAGTGAAATAGAATTTTTATACTTTTGACTGTAATTGTAGCAATGTCTGCAGGAAGCAAACAAATTTGTTGATCTCGCAGCATGCAATTTATAAACACTCAAATATCTAATACCTTGCCTCAAGGTATAGCATACATGTACATAATAGGAAACATATGGAGAAACATGAGCATATCCTGTGAAGTAAAATATTACCATTTCTAGCAGTCTAACCCTTGCGCAAGAGGGGGGGGGGCAAATGTTAAGGCACTGATAGTGAGTAATTGTTTTGTTTTTACCAGCTCTGCGCAACAAATATAGGATAAATGGGAAGAAACTTTACATCAGACTGTTAGATATATGTACATGTACATGTAATGTTACATGTAATCTACTTTCTAAAACTGTAGCAAAGTATAGACTTGATTTTTATAGTTTAACACAGTTCTGGAACCATCTAACACAGACTGTGCAGCCTCAACTCTTTAGCATTGGACATGAAATACTACTATTCGTTTTCTATTCAATGTCTAAGATGTATTGTGTCGCGTTGCTGCTCTGTCTCTGCAGATGAATTTCTCTCAGCAGTGTGATCTATGGTGTATATTACAAACATCAGACCCCGTGACCAATGTCAGCATGATAAGAGATGGTCGCAGCTTTCCAGAGGGCTCAATGTCCTGCAGAGATGGAAGCCTGCACAAAATTGTGTCGTCAGAATCAATATGGGGGCTCCCGATAACGAATGGCAGCTGCTGAAGGAAGCAGATTTACTCGCGATGTGGCAGCGCATTGAGCAAACCGAAGCCCCCAATGCAACCACCTGTCTATCTTACCAAACTCATACATAAGGCGCTGTGTGCGCTTCTGTGTGTAGAGGGTACATGATTGACAGAGAATCTGATAGTCACTACAGGTCTGTGTTCCAAAATTAGGATGGAGAGATTTGGGACAACCTTATTATCTTATAAAATCGTATTTTCATTGCAATTGTGATGCTTATTGACACTGAAGAAGAGTATTGGATGTCAGTGGAAACGTCTAGAATTTACCGCCATAATTTATCCAGCTACACATAGTTAATTGTAATAGTACAGTTAATTTTCTATGAGTATTGTTAACCTGGATGTCTTAAACCTTTACCAATGTTTAATATCAATGGTTTGCACCATCAGTGGCAACAGTTGGATCCTTAGTTTGTAGATTTTTATCTCTAATGCACTGGACTGATATCCCCCAGTTGGATAGTACCTGCTTTGCTTCATGATCAAGCAATAATGTGTAAAGACAGAAGTGCAGTTGTCAGCAAGCTAAAACAGAACGTATGGCTTCAAACCTGTGAAGTGAAGGACACATTTCTGGGAAGTCTGCCAGTACTAAGGGCTGTTCGTATGATGAACATGCCTTTCCCTTGATTAGATTTAGATTACAAGGTGTTGCATATGCTGTGGGACTTAAGGTCAGTCTGTACAAGACTTTGCATGCATAGAATGTGATACTCTGTGCAAGACATTGTGACCTGTTCTGGACCAATACACATAACTCTTTATCTGCCTATATCTATATTATGTATAGTTTCAAGCTGCTGTATTTCAGCACTTGGCACATGCAGAATGGTCTCTAAGTCATCAGTTGGGCAGTTCATTACAACATTTTCAGATTATTTTTGATTCTGCCACTATGTATCATTCTTCATTTTGTGTTTGCAGCACTTGAATTTCACTGTAAGGAAAAAAAATCAAGAGTTTGTTATGTCTTTGCATTCACCGTTAAAAGCACAATTATTTATACTGACTGTAGTTACTAATAAAAGCAATGCAAGGGCACATGTTCACAGCCATTTTACTTGAATGTTCCACTACTGTTAACACTGTTTTAACAAAGTTGTGTTTATTTCTTTTCTTTCCATGTCACGTATGTGATCTTCATCCATGATGTAATGTGCAACATGATGTCGTCACTGCTTCATGATCATCCCACTTATGTGTCAACTATAAATCTAATATTAGTAATGCTAAATCCAGGTAATTCTCATTTTTTCTAATTTCTATAAATTTTATTGTGTGATTATTTTCCTTCAGGCGGTGAGAGTAGTGGTAGTAGTGGTGGTGAGATTTTAACTTTTTTTCAAAAGTCTCAGTCTAGAGTTTTTAGTCCTCTTTGAAACTTTGCTGTGGTTTGCATATCAGAATAGTAGCGGGCCCAGTATGCTTCTCTGTGGTACACTGGCTTGTGTGAGTCCCTTTACTACATATTTTCCTTGTCCTAGCTAATTAGTAAACTACATATTTTACTGCCAGGACAACCCAAAGTCTTAGTATTGACAACAGTACTTTCTCAGCCTCAGAATTATAACTAGTTACAGTGCCAGAAAGTGTTGCAGACTACTGACAGATTCCGTGGGTGTCAGATTGATCACACGTTTTTACAAGGACAAGCTGGGCTGATGACAAAAGAGCCGTGCAACACGTTCTGTTCGAGAAATTCTTTACCAGCCCCATGAAACTTTAGGGGCCCAAACGACCCATGTCTTACAAAGCCTGATGTACGAGCTCATCAGACGGCGCCATCAGTCCACGTTTGCTCATGTCATTCAGGTCGCCTACCTGTTTCTTCATTGCCCAACCACGGGGCACAAATTTGGTCAAATCTGAGGCTGCACACGTCCCTCCTAGGTCTGTCCTCTCAAGGTGGAATAGGTTTTACACCCCTTCAGTAAAATCCACAGACCTGAAGGGGCCTGTAACTTTAAGTTGTGCCGGGTACTCTCTTATCTCTAGTGTGCCGTGGTGACTGCTGTGCTTACTAGATGAAAGTGCGACACAGGGTGTCCAGCCATAAGGCTGCACGACTGGAAAATCAATGGACGTCCGTCTTGTGCGGTATTGATAAGAAAGGCAAACTGATTAGTGTGTGTGTTGGTGAAGCATGCCTTCTTAGTGGTGCTAATTCCGCCATGATTAATCCTGTGTTCCGCTGGGCTCACTACGCAGGCAATCTACGCCATTCGCTGAGTGCAAGACGACATGCATAATGTAATGGTTGTGTCTGTGTGAAGCCATAGCTTAGTGGAATGAAAGAGAGGATTTTGTAGGATTGTGTACTAGACAATTCTGCCAAAGCATCCACTGGAAAGGTGTTAGAATAGCAGAAGAAGAAGGTTTAGCAAACTTTTTTTATGTGTTTCTTAGTTCCAAACAACTTCTTAAAACTAAAGCAAACTCATCTTGAAAGTTCATCTGTGTTGCTAGAAGTCATTATAAAACAACTGTAATGGCCAGCACAAAATATTGGACTCACCCAAATTTTCGACTGTACAACTCCAGTCTCTGTCAAGCAAACTCTATGTTTCTCAGTTCTAAATTCTTTCATTTGAAAACTTGACCATCCTTTTTCTGTTTCCCATTTCCAAACAACATGTTCTTGCAAACATAATAATTCAGTATAATAATAATAATTCATTTTCTCATTTCCAAAAAATATCCTTCTAGAAATAAGTGTCTTATTTGTGTTCTGGCATGTTGAACAACTGAAGTGAAGTTCACTGCAAAAATCTGCATGTATGCTGGGGGACACAGAGGGACCAGACTTGCCTTGTGATTAATGACATATGACGGCTGTCCCCTTTAAACAGACTGGAATATGACGACGAATGACACACTAGGGACACTCACTGTGACGTCATACAACACACTCATTCACTCTGTGCAAGAACCAGTGTCTATTGGGAATGTACACATCTGAAAAATTGTCTGAGGATCATGCTAAAATGTTCCAGTGATCACAAAACAGCCATTTTCAGAAGGAGAACTTTTAAATTCTGAGAATCTGACAAGATTCATTCTTAGAAGAATATAGAATTCTTTTGAGATATTGAGATATTGCTGCAACATTACCAAGAGACAGGTTGTAATGTACTTTTATTCCTCAACCTGCATGTATAACTACATGTAATATCTTTTGTGTCACCTCATATTTCCACCTGTCAGAAAGAATGAACACTTTCAAAACCATCTGTCAGAAAGTTTCAGGTTTTTACATTTTGTGGCAATTAAGTTCACTGACTGATACTGTAAATTCATTTCATATTGCGGCTCTTTTAACAGGTTTTGAAATTGTGTATCAGAGGCGGTGAAGCTTGTCCTACAATGGACACATTATTTGGTCGTACTGCTCTTTAAGTTGCTGCCATGTAAATTTTGGTATTGCATATAAATAAAGAAATATCACCCCATAATCCATGACCAGGTCAAATTAAAGTAAACTGGTAAAATCACATTGCATTCTGATGCAAATCGTGATCCGGTGAAATCGGTTTGAAACTACCTCCCGAGGTAGTTTGAGATCGAGGCGCTTTCAATGCCATTTGGTGTGTTCAGATGGGGCCAATTGAATCCGACTTTGGTGGAATCTGGATTAAAACCGGTTACAGCGTATTCATGTGAACAGGGAATTATCAATGGCCATGGGGTCTTCATGTAGACTGGTGATCATGATCACCAATACAGGTTTGACTGTAATTATCAATGGCCAGGTGGTCCCTACTTACACTAGTGACTTGACTGCTTATTTGAACAACTTGTATTAGTCTTACACATTCCCACCCCAGTGTATAGTATCAACGCCATCCCATCCTCACCACAGTAAGCCTACATGGGTGGGTTCCTGTCAGTCTTTCCACACAAAACTGGCAACTTCATTGATCTGGGAGGAGACCTTTATCAACAGGAGAGCCCACAGTTGGGCAAGTTTAGACCTGACCTGCATACAGATGCATCAACCCACTAGCTGCAGGGGTTGTCACAATTTTCCAGCTCTCTTCTCTGAGAAACTGTATACTGTAAGTCACTTTATGTCTGCAGTAGCAAAAGTTAGCAGTCTGAAAAAAATGAACATGTTCGCGGAACTATACCTTCGCAGTGTCGGCAAGTGCAGCAAAAAGAAAGTCAGCAAATTATTTGTTCACGGTAATGATAAGCTTGCAGTACAGAAGTAACCATGAAAACATTGAGTATTAAAAAAAAAAAGTGCTGCGAAAAAAGCATGATTTACAGTATTAAATAGGATACAGTAGCTCTAGGCGTCTGGCATCATATTATAAGAAGATGTTATGATCTGTCTTGACTCACTAATGCATCTTTTTCAGGTTCAGTGTCTTAGGGTTGGGAGAAAGCTATCATCCATTTTATGAACAGCAAGCAACCTGTGACATACCTGAATTAAAAGTCAGACAGGCAATTTGTCATGTAAAACAGTGTATGGTAAAAGAGTCTGTGTCTAGATGACACCACAAAGATCAACCAGAGATATTTTTAATTTTTTTGTCTGAACCAACTTGTTTTAATGACAAAATGGGCATCCCAGCAGCTTGCTTTGGCTAAACAGGAGAATTTTTGTCTGAATATCTGGACGTGGATGATTCAAACACTTTTTACTACTTTTGGGAAGCTACATTGTAGCTGCTGCCGCACAGTGTAAATGCAAAGCTGGTGTTAGTTATACTGGCTATACAGATACAGATACAGACAGACATGCCCTTCGGATGCATTTTGTAAACCAGGCACAACCTTTTTTTTATACTGAATGCATGCTGCCCTTTGCAGAGCTGACATCTGGGCAGGCCATAGATGCATCCATTCACCGACGACTAATGGTCAGGCTCATCGAAGTGCAGTCCTGATTTGTATTTAACCCACTTAAACCTAATGCAGCACTACTGTAGACTTACGAGTCACCATTACGCCACTATTTCATTGGTCAGCCAGGTGCCCTTAACTGTAGCTTATCTGCGACACCTAACCTGGTGTAAAATCTTTTACACTCCACACGAGGTGCTGTAGTCAGATATAAACACGCTGCGACCTTTTATCCGGCATTCATCTCTTTTAACAGTACCATCATCCTCTAACTTATCCTGTTCGAGCAATAAATTTGGAGGAAAAGTGCTGCCTAAGCTGTAATGAGTTTGCCAATATTCAGTCAACTGCTGGACGGCATAAAAGCGGCAATATGAGCCGGTGTAAGCCCATGCTTTCCCGGCGCCCATTTCTTAGCTTCTAAAAGGATTGTAAAGTTAATAAAACTGCACAGAATATGGAGGGAAATTTGCTACTTTGCCGCAAGTGATCCTGGTTGACCTGTAGTGGACGCACCTTGCAGGTTGTGCTTGTGTGTCTTGGCCCTGTGATTTTAACGTTAAGTAAACATGATTTTGATATCCACGAATATAACTAACCTTGTAATTTTGCCTTCTGTAAATTGATACTTGCAGCAAAGAAGTCATACTGTGGATTAAGTGAAAATTTATCATGAATATAATATTTGTTTTAAAAAAGCCATGTATTATCTAGACCTATATTTATGTCAGATCTCTGATAACTTTTTTTACCAATATTATCTATTTCAAAATCAGCTCGCTTACCAACATTGGCCTCAACTTTTAGGCAGCTTTTTACATGCCCCTGTAGAATATATATGGCAGATATTCCTGTATTTGATGAAGGGAAATCTGTTTAATAGCTTGCCAACAAGGCTTATGATTGCATTATAAGCAAGTAAGAAAAGGATTCATTTACTAATGTTGTGTGCATTGGGTGTTATGTGAGCATCAGGGCTGTCCTTGGTGCTGAAATATCGGTGCCTGTGAGGGTGTTGGTTCATCTAGCAAATATGGGAAACAGATCACAGATGGATGTCAAGTAAAGGCTTACAGAGCTTTGAGAACTCAAGAATAGACACATGTTTAAAGTAATTCATAGTTTCAGGCACTTTATTGAAGATGTCTCAAGACTCATTGTTTCAGGCACTTTATTGAAGATGTCTCAGAACTCATTGTGTCAGGCACTTTATTGAAGATGTCTCAAAATGATATCTTAAGACTACAGGATACGATCACAAAGATAATTCCCCCTCCCCCATTTCACATTCAAAATCAATGGCAACATATCAAAATCAGGTCATCGCTCATTGGAGAATTTCAGAGTACCGCATGCTATTAGGCATAGACCTATTTATATTCTTAATA